CAGCCATAACTGCGTCCCGCGGTGTAGCCGACGGAGGGAGGAGCCATGGAGGAGGAATGGCCACTGACTCCAGGGGGCCGACCAACGGCGGTGGAGCAGGTGGTGGAGGTGCCCGAGGCGGAGATGGAGAGCCAACGAGCCAGGGGAATGCCGAGGATCCGGGGGGCCAGGGTGGAGCCGGAGATCTGAAGATCCGCGGCGGAGCCGGAGCGACTGAGGACCAAGATGGAGCTGGCAGGAGGAAGGAGCCCAACGGAGCCGGTGGGACAGAGCGACGAGGCACAGCCAGAGGAGTAGCGATGGCGGGTCGACGCCCAACCAAGGCGGAGTCGGAGGGATGAGGGAGCTGATGGATCGATGGGTGACGGTGGAGGCGAGGGAGCTAGGAGCCGAGGTGGAGCCACTAGGTCTACGGGCCGAGGCGGAGTCCGGGCATCGGAGGCTGGAGGCGTAGGTGAGGGAGACTCCAACCACGGTGACGCTGGAGGATGGCAGCGTTCCCCGTGTGATCATTCTTTAATGATCACACGGGGAACGTAGGAGACACTGGAACACAAGGAATGACGTTTGAGGACCGACAAACACTAACTGAAAGGACTGGGGCTTTTAAACACTGGGTGATTGGGAAAACACAGGTGCAAGGAATGACTAATTAAAGGGAACACGGCACACCTGGGGAGGATAAACACAACACAAAGAGTCCAGGGGCATGACACATAGAAGGTACAGTACAAAAAAAAATTCACATTTGTTGAGTCCAAATTCAATTGCTATTTATTTTTAGATAATCATAATCAACACCAGGGCTGGGGAAAGGTACTTTTAAAAGTAATGCATTACAATATTGCGTTACTCCATAAAAAGTAACTAATTGCGTTACTTAGTTACTCTTTATGAAAAGTAATGCATTACATTATTTTTGCATTGCTTTTTGTCACCTGGGCTGGGCATGCCTTGCTTATTTGTTTTTTAATAACAAAAAACCCAAAGCTATATTTTTGGCAACTGTAAAGGCCCCTTTACACCAAAAATGACATTAATAAGCCTCCAGCTGAAGGAAGTGCCTCTGCCTCTGCAGCTCACTCACAAATTTCTCTCTTCATGTTTCATTGTAAATTTAAAAGTAATGCGTTACTTTATTAGTTACTTGAAAAATTAATCTGATTATGTAACTCACGTTAATTGTAATGTGTTACCCCCAACAGTGATCAACACTCAAATAAAAACTGATTTGTATAAAAACATTAAAATGCACATAATGCAGTTTTTATATCAGCTTTTCAATTATATATTTTTTTGTTTCTACTCCAATTTCTGCATTCTTCAATTTCTACATTCCTCAATAATACAATACTCTACAAGTCAATCGCTCATATATGTGACTAAAGTCACTAAAGGTAACTTAATATTGTCTGTAGTTAGCCATTGACTAACAAACTGGTAGATTTCACTTGCCAGTGATTGATTTAGAGGCTAAAAATAAGTTTAGCACAGACTTCGCATATGAGAGTTTCATTGTCCGTGTTTTTACAGCACAGTTAGTAAACTATTCTTACTGATATCAATGGATGTGCAAGGTAGTCCACAGTTTTGGATCTAGACCAGGGGTGTCAAACTCAGTTCCTGGAGGGCGACTGTCCTGTAGAGTTTAGCTCCAAACTGAAATAAACACACCTGAACCAGCTAATCAAGGTCTTCAGGATTGCTAGAAACTTCTAGGCAGGTGTGTTGGAGTTGATTGAACAGTCACCATCCAAGAACTGAGACTGACACGTCTAGACACTCAAGATCCATATATACAGTATATACAGTATATATTTACAGTCAAAATGAATGAGTTACTTTGAAATTATTTAGCCTTTAAGAACAAGCATAAGCCATTGCTGCTTTCTTCGGTAGGGGGCGGAACTAATGCTCAAGATGTAATTCAATTGGCTAGCGTTCACCTTTTACAGTTTGCCGTTTGCTTTCAGCAAATCAGTTTGAGTGTACATAGGAAATGTAATTAATATTCATTAACCTCATTCACTCATCAGACCTTAGCACATTTACATAGTTATTAGTAGTTCTGTCAACTCTCAGAAAAAATAGCATGGTAATATACATAGCTATGTGAATGTATTTGGTCTTGACAGAACAGATCTGCTTACACTGCTGCTGCTGCAGCAGAGCAAGTACCAATACTTGCTACTGCCAATACATCCACGGACATGCTGCTGTGAGCATGTAGAAAATACTACTGCTGCACATATATACATCACATCACCCCATAGCAGATCTATACAGGTGGAGCTGGGGAAGGTGGAGGGTTTCTGAAGCCGCTGCAATCTATCCTATCAGCATTATTGTTGAACACTGAATGACTAATAATGTCTCACAACCTTGTCACCTGGGCTGGGCATGCCTTGCTTATTTGTTTTTTAATAACAAAAAACCCAAAGCTATATTTTTGGCAACTGTAAAGGCCCCTTTACACCAAAAATGACATTAATAAGCCTCCAGCTGAAGGAAGTGCCTCTGCCTCTGCAGCTCACTCACAAATTTCTCTCTTCATGTTTCATTGTAAATTTAAAAGTAATGCGTTACTTTATTAGTTACTTGAAAAATTAATCTGATTATGTAACTCACGTTAATTGTAATGTGTTACCCCCAACAGTGATCAACACTCAAATAAAAACTGATTTGTATAAAAACATTAAAATGCACATAATGCAGTTTTTATATCAGCTTTTCAATTATATATTTTTTTGTTTCTACTCCAATTTCTGCATTCTTCAAATTCTACATTCCTCAATAATACAATACTCTACAAGTCAATCGCTCATATATGTGACTAAAGTCACTAAAGGTAACTTAATATTGTCTGTAGTTAGCCATTGACTAACAAACTGGTAGATTTCACTTGCCAGTGATTGATTTAGAGGCTAAAAATAAGTTTAGCACAGACTTCGCATATGAGAGTTTCATTGTCCGTGTTTTTACAGCACAGTTAGTAAACTATTCTTACTGATATCAATGGATGTGCAAGGTAGTCCACAGTTTTGGATCTAGACCAGGGGTGTCAAACTCAGTTCCTGGAGGGCGACTGTCCTGTAGAGTTTAGCTCCAAACTGAAATAAACACACCTGAACCAGCTAATCAAGGTCTTCAGGATTGCTAGAAACTTCTAGGCAGGTGTGTTGGAGTTGATTGAACAGTCACCATCCAAGAACTGAGACTGACACGTCTAGACACTCAAGATCCATATATACAGTATATACAGTATATATTTACAGTCAAAATGAATGAGTTACTTTGAAATTATTTAGCCTTTAAGAACAAGCATAAGCCATTGCTGCTTTCTTCGATAGGGGGCGGAACTAATGCTCAAGATGTAATTCAATTGGCTAGCGTTCACCTTTTACAGTTTGCCGTTTGCTTTCAGCAAATCAGTTTGAGTGTACATAGGAAATTTAATTAATATTCATTAACCTCATTCACTCATCAGACCTTAGCACATTTACATAGTTATTAGTAGTTCTGTCAACTCTCAGAAAAAAATAGCATGGTAATATACATAGCTATGTGAATGTATTTGGTCTTGACAGAACAGATCTGCTTACACTGCTGCTGCTGCAGCAGAGCAAGTACCAATACTTGCTACTGCCAATACATCCACGGACATGCTGCTGTGAGCATGTAGAAAATACTACTGCTGCACATATATACATCACATCACCCCATAGCAGATCTATACAGGTGGAGCTGGGGAAGGTGGAGGGTTTCTGAAGCCGCTGCAATCTATCCTATCAGCATTATTGTTGAACACTGAATGACTAATAATGTCTCACAACCAACAGCCCATAATTCTGTCAATTCTATTTAATATGACAAATATGCATTCATTTTCATTTATACATGGTTGTCCATTTTAGTTCTAATTACTGAAGTTCTATAATTAAACAATGCCTGATTGTTTTTTAAGTGTAATTGTTGCTTTCAAATCATATCACATATGAATATATCTACAAAAGTGTTGCTGTGCCATTTTGTGAAGATAAGCTTACGAAGCCGCTGCAATCTATCCTATCAGCATTATTGTTGAACACTGAATGACCAATAATGTCTCACAACCAACAGCCCATAATTCTGTCAATTCTATTTAATATGACAAATATGCATTCATTTTCATTTATACATGGTTGTCCATTTTAGTTCTAATTACTGAAGTTCTATCATTAAACAATGCCTGATTGTTTTTTAAGTGTAATTGTTGCTTTCAAATCATATCACATATGAATGTATCTACAAAAGTGTTGCTGTGCCATTTTGTGAAGATAAGCTTATGTGATTTGAAATGTGCCAAATCATACATATACAATACAGCATGCCTTGAGTACCTTATTGCTTTTATAAATGGGATACTACACAATTCAAATATTACAGAGTTTGTCTTAAACTGCTCTCTCTTATATGCAGTGTTGGAAAGTGCATACGGTAATTCACAGGGGGATTTCACAGATATGACTTGCGTTATTTTCTGTGACAGTAATAAATTCAATTTCTCCTGCTCAGAATCCTGCATAAAGGTCAACCTAATGTAAACTGAAATATAGATAGATGGCAACAACTAATGAGAAAGTATGATTTTTCAAAATATATATTTTTTAAGTCAGATTCCACTGTTAAGTTTTGCATGCATTACTGTAATATAACATTATCAAGATTGTTGATTTTTAGCTTTAATTAAAAAGTCAGTGGAATATTGACAGCTGGCATCACATTCATTCAGACAGACAGCTGTTCTGGGAGGATGCTGGATTCTTGAATGATTTCCCTCTAAAGACAATAATAATGTGTCAATGTATTTTTTGAACTGCTGCTTTAAAAAAAATCGTTTTCACACAGCTGTAAATCTCAAACTTCAGCTATTCCTCTCAGCTTGTGATTCTTTATCGTCCCCTTGATATTCAGCTATAAGCGTCCAATATGTCTGTTTCTCCCTGCAGATCAGGAAGTGTGCAGCATCACTGGAATGAAATATATAACTTTGTGGAACATCTGGCCCATAAGTTCATAAGGTAGGCAAAGACAGAGTCTCACAAAACTCTGTGAGTGTGCATAACTTTTTCTACTGTATGTGGATGAAAAATAATGACAAAATCCTTTAAAACATGTTCAACTAAAATATTACATGACTAGTTGCATCTCTTTATATCTGGCTTAATAAAGGTTCTGTAATTGTTTTTAGTGAAGCAGGAATAGGAATATGTGGGATCACATTGAAAGACATTTGTACAATTAAAATATGCTTTTGAAACTATAATATGCCATTTCAGTTATTTCAAAAGAGTGGTTCAATCAGAAATAACTACAGCGCACCTGACATTTAGTGAAATAATAATATCAGTCTAACATACATGTTTGTTATTGCATCTAGCCCTCAGTTGCGGATGTCCTTCATTGTATTCTCCGATCAGGGCAAGATTTTGATGCGGCTGACAGAAGACAGGTGAGTGAATCAACATTATCTTTATTATTTTCTGATTTAACTCAAACCATTAGCACAAACACATTGTGTCCACTTTTGTAGTCTGGAAGGGGTTTGACTGTAGTATTGACCAACAAATTAATGTTTTACACCTCTGTTACCAAAAAAATGAAGGCCAAATCTGTGAGAATCGGTTATATGACAGTTAATGACCCATAAAGAATGGCACATCTTCTGGAAGCATTCCCTGGTCTTGACGATCATCTCCAATCCTTATATGGATAGTTCACCTAAAAATGAAAATTCTGTCATCATTTACTCACTCTCAAGTTATTCCAAACCTGTATGAGTTTCTTTCTTCCATTAAACACAAAAGAAGATATTTTGCAGAATGTTGGTCACCAAATAGTTGCCGGTAGCCGTATTAGGGGAAAAAAATACTATGGAAGTCAATGGCTACCATCAACTGTTTAGTTACCAACAAATAGGAACAACTTGTAGGTGAGTACATTATGACAGAGTTTTCATTTTTGGGTGAACTGTCCCTTTAAAACAGTACTTCCATGACTTCAACATGTGGCTCACAATCAAGGTTTTTCCATGTTTCCAGAGAAGCGTTGGTTGTCAGTGCCCGTGAATATTATTCATGGTGCAGTTTGTCTGTAGCTGTTGAAAATGTACTCCATCCAGAATAAACTTACACTCCAGGTCTCCTGAATCCTTGTGTGTGTGTGTTACCAATGTTACAGTTTGGTGGTTACAGTAAAACATTGCACAGAGGCAGCAAGGATCTATGTATCTTTCACGACCTTTTCTCTTTCTTTCATTGTGTGCATTTGTCAGGGACCAAATTCGGAAAGGTTTGGAGGAACTCCATAAAGTGCGGCCAGGTGGAGACACTTTTATGCATGAAGGCATTCAGCGGGTGAGTGAGCAAATAGGAACCATCTTGGCATCAGTACCGCCCACCCAGCTATGACAAATAGCGCGAAATATCCTTCACGAAGGTTATGTTTGGCCACTACTCTGACAAAAGGACCTAAAAACATAGAACTGTTGAGTTTTTAAATGATCTTTCACAGATGGGTAAATGTATTCCTCATCTGTTAGTGAAATAACCAGTCATTGTGAATGTTGTTTGATCTGCATGAGATTACAATATTTCTGATGTTTTTGTTTTTTTTGTTGTTTTTTTGTACTACTAGGCCAGCGAACAGATTTACTATGGTAACTCTGAGGGTAGGTCCATTTCAAACACTATCTTGCTGAAAAAAGAAACAGTTTAGACTGGTTTTAGATTGCTGGCACGAAATGGTTAAATTTGTTATAGTTGCAGGTAGACCACCTTAAAGGGATGGTTCACCCAAAAATTTATTATTTCAATAATGTTATATTATCTGCAAGTTTTTTTTTTTTTGACGTTTTGAAGTACACTCCTAGTGCGCATTCAGTACAATTAAGCGTATTTCCTTTTCATAAGGGGCGTTGTCACTGAAAGCAACGTTTGCTTTGGTGTTCACGAGTTGAAGACAGGGTCATCGGTGGCCCATATAAATTAATTTGCATGCTGGGAATTAGATCACTCATTTCTCTTTTCTCCATCATTCTGCAACACAGATCGTAACAATATTACAACAGTATCAACCGATAATAACCATATCTTTGGTTACACAAATGAGTAATAAAGAACAGTATGAGCTATTATAAAGAGTATAAATCATCAACATGTATTTTTTTATGTACAAAATATCAGCCACACTCACTGAAATAATAAGTGTACTTATCCCCATGTTTTCATCCACTTTCAGCTTCAACCAACAAAGACATTATTCAGCATCTAATGATCAGAATTATCCAGTGTCCTCTTCATAGATGTTCAGCTTTGCCACATAGTGCCAAAAGCATGATCTGTGGATGAAGCAGTTCATGGCTAATAGTTTGCAGGTGTCTGAAGTGTTTCTGCTCTGTGTTTCTCTCAGGCTAATCGCTCTCGCAGCCTGGGTGCCTCTGTGTACTGCGTAGGAGTGAAGGATTTCAATGAGACTCAGGTGTGTGTGTTGTTTGGAGGTATTGTAAGCTTTAAAACTAGATCTTGGCACTTTTGCCAAAGTGTTACAAGGTTTCTAGAAATGATGCTCCGGGGGGTGGGTATATGAAACTTGCACTTGTTTAAGCAAATATACTTTATACATTTGTTGTAATGCTTTTTTTCACTTCTCTTAGCTGGCCAAGATTGCTGACAGCAAAGATCATGTCTTTCCAGTAAACGACGGCTTTGAAGCTCTACAAGGTGTCATTGGTTCAGTGAGTGTTTTTGTTGACGATTTAGTACAGTAAATTGCATTCTGTCACGGTGCGTGTGGAGAGATGAGGCGAGGACTCAAGTTGCATGAAGAAAGGGTTATTTAATAATAAAATGAAACAAAACAACAACAAAAACTACTCAGAGGAGGAAAACAGGCAGGCAGGCCAGAGACAACAATACAAGCAGACATAATACATGGCACGAGCATACTTGATGACAATGGATCAGCACAGGACTGCAGACACCTGGAGAATAAATAGGGAGACAAACGAGGAGGGTAATGAGGGAGACACAGGTGAAGCAACTGAAACAATAATGAGGTGACAAGATGGGAGGGGACAGACAATAGACAGGAGAAAGCACATGGCACCAAACAAACACAACATAAGCCATGTGCAACCACACAGTGTCCTCTGGTGGCCATCCTGGGCACACCAGCTAAAGACTGTGACAGAACACCCTCTCTAAGGAGCGGATTCCAGACGCTCCACAGTCCGGGGCACAGAACAAGAGTCCAGGAGCGCGGTGGAGAGGAGGCGGAACAGGGGGAGGGATGGTGGGCCAGGCCCGTGGAGGGGAGGAGGGCCTGGAGACTGTGGCAGAGCAAGTGACCAGGGTGGAGCCGGCAGAGCAGGAGGCCTGGGTGGAACAGGCGGAGCTGAACTTCTCCAGGGCGGAGCATGCCGAGCTGAAGCCCACCAGGACAGAGCATGCGGAACTGAAGCCCACCAGGGCAGAGCTGAAGACCACCACAGCCTCTCAGAGAAGGCTGAAGACGTCCACGGTGGTGCAGCAGACCACCACAGTTGAGAAGGCATGACTGAAGATCCCCATGGTGGAGCAGATGACCACCACAGCAAAGCAGATGGGAGAGGGCTATGGTGGATCAGGTGGCGCTGGCGACCTCCACATTGGTGCAGGGGGGGGCTGAAGACCACCATGGTGGCACTGTAGACCACCAAGGCAGCACAGGCAGAGTTCTTGACCACCATGGTTGAGCAGACTCATGGGTAGAAGTAGGCTCTGGAGTAGACTCTAAGAACTCCCCGGACTGGAGTGGATTCTGGAGTGGACTCTGAAGGCTTCCGGACTGAAGCGGGCACTGGAGTGGAGTCTGAGTGCTCCCGGACTGAAGCGGGATCTGGAGTGGTTTCTGAAGGCTCCCAGACTGGAGCGGGCTCTGGAGGGGTCTCTGAAGGCTCCTGGACTGGAGCAGGCTCTGGAGTGGACTCTGAGGGCTCCTGAACTGAAGCGGGTTCATGAGTGGACTCTGAGGGCTCCTGAACTGGAGTGGGTTCATGAGTGGACTCTGAGGGCTCCCGGACTGGAGCGAGTTCATGAGTGGATTCGGAAGCAGCCCATGTCCGCAGAACAGCCATGAGGTGAAAGGCAAAGACAGCCTTCTTGATTATGGCAGCAGCAGTGAAATCAGGCAGCTCTGTTGTGACCTCTGAGACCACTGGAGTGAGGTCCTCTAGGACCACCAGACTTGAGACCACCAGAGTCGGGTCCTCCAGGACCACCGGACTTGGGACCACCAGAGTCAGGTCCTCCAGGACCACCGGACTTGAGCCCACCGGAGAAATGCCAGCTGCTCTGGCTGAGATCAACAGTGGCTCCACCAACCTGGAAGCCAGTCTCAAACGGCTTGGGCCCACCCAGTGAAGAGGTTCCGGACTGGCAGCCATCTTGTGAATAGGCTCAGGAACTGACTGTCTCTCCTTGTGGGCTAGAAAGTCCACAAACACCCCAAAAGAAAGGTGCTCCGTGCCGAACCTCTTCCAAATGTTGATGGGCTCATCAAGGGCATAGTTGAATAGTTCCTTGAGAGCCGCATCGTTGTAGTCCCCCTGTGCAGCACTCCTGAACTTCACAGCAAACTCCCTCAAATCAGTTCCCTGATTCAAGTTGCAGGAAGAAAGGATTATTTAATAATAAAATGAAACAAAACAATAACTAACCCGAGGGGGAAAACAGGCAAGCATGCAGGCAGCGCAGGGACAACAATACGGGCAGACATAATACACGCCATGAGCATACTTGACGACAAACAACGGATCAGCACAGGACTGCAGAATAAATAGGGAGACAAATGAAAAGGGTAACGAGGGAGACACCAGCTGAAGACTGTGACATTCTATATGAAAAATTGTGTTGTAAGAAAAATCAGACTTTAATCATTATATAAAACAAATATTATTATGATTGTTTCCATTAATTTAACTCAATTTTATTATTTGTCAAGGTTCTTTTTCAGCATTAATTCAATTTGAAAGTAGTTGAACAATTAAAACGCATCCCTGCGGGTTGTAATGTTGGTCCCACATTGATTTTATTTAATATTTTAAATAAAGCAATTTTGTTTAAGCAATTAAACTTAACTTTTAAATTTAAATTAGGTGATTTTTTTACAGGGAAACTTCATCACTCATTAATGTACTCTCTACGCATTGCTTTCTTTCTGCTGAATTAAATAAATTCTTATTTAAATTCAATTAAATTTGACCAGTTTCAGAAAAGTCTCTAATATCTAGACACCCATATCTATCAGAACCAGTAGTTTGCTATTTTAAATATTTTGAGTTAGTGGTCAACTGATATATCACCAAAGGTCAATATGTGGGCCAATGTTCTTTTTTTCTTTCTGTTTGGCCGATGTGTTGGAAATGAGACTCTTATTTTGACTGCACTGAGAACATCAGAGCCTGAGTGTCAGATCTCCCATTCTCCGTCTTCATTAGTTTACTGTCTCGGTTTAATAGTAGTTTGAATATAAATTATATTTTATATTAATTAAATACAGTATATCAGATAATCTACTATCATAATTCAGTAAATTTGCATTAAAATATTTTGAAAATGTGTAATAATCATATATATATATATATCTATATATATATATATATAGATATATATATATATATGATTATTACACATTTAAAAATATATATATTGTTCCCAGTTCGCAAGGATTTACCATATTACTGAGTGCACTACTGGTTTATTTCAAGTTTTTAGTTTTTCTTCATATAATTCATTTTCAAATGATTTATTTTTAATTTAGTAAATATTATGTAAAATAAATATACATTTCAGCAATTGTTATGCAAGTGTTTTTACTATTTTTAAAGTAAAGAGAGTGATATCATATATATAGGCTTTATATTGACCATTGACCACCCTGCTGTCTAAGACAGCGACCACCACAAAATCAGTATCCATCAACCAATAATTTGCATGGCCATCAGTGGAGAAAGATGCTTTTCAGATGCTTTAGTTACAGTATCTACCAGCAGGGGCAAACACAGCCACGCCAACCAGACAAAGCTTGAGCTCCTGGGTAAAAATTACCCTAAGAAACAGCCTTTTAATGAAAAAACAACAGAAGAATTTAAGAAAAACACAGAAGTGAAGAACAACAAACAAGAATATTCATTCAGTCCCGTCTGAAGATGCTTGATTGTCTCCAGTATCAGAGAGACCTGCCATGCCCTGCCTGGACCGCTTTGATCCCACGGTCCGCTGGAGTCTGTCCAAACACATTCAAAGCCTTTTCAACGTCTCCTTTCTTTTTGCAATGAAAGCTAATCATTTATATTTTTTTAGCTCCGAAGCCGAGGTGGAAGAAAAGAGGGGATATTTGGGTAAAGCCTTGTCTGGCCCATGCAGAGGTTGATTGTTTCGTGAGCTGAGACTGGGGTCAGTTCAGCTGGCATCCATCTGCTGTCAATTAGTGGCATGCTGAAAGATCTCGGCCGAAGCTCAGGAGAAGAGTGTCGTAAATCAGCAGGGACCTTGGGTTCTGAAAGCATATTTCCATAGATGACAGAGGAAGGCGGTAGACATGTAGATCAAAACAAGCTCACCACACATAGGTGCTGGTATGGCCGATGACGGCTGTTTCCAGGATGAGAGGAAAGAGACGGAGAAAACAGATGTGCTGTTCAAAACAAAAACAAGCCGAGGCACATGCAGGAGAAGTGTTCCTATGATTGGTGGATTTTTAACTTAAAAAAATATCGTCTCCATTTGCTATTTTCATTTGTTTGATTAATTTAAAGGGGTCATTCACCCCAAAATGACAATTCTGCCATGTTTTACTCACCTTTGAGTTGTTTCAAACATGTATGTTCTTCTTTTGAACATAAAGAAATATATTTTGAAGAATGTTGGTAAGCAAACAGTTTATGGTCCCCATTGCCTTCCACTGTATTTTTAGTTTTTCCATACTATGGAAGTCAATGGCTACCAGCAGCTGTTTGCATTCTTCAAAATATCTTATTTTGTGTTCAGCAGAAGAAAGAAATGCATACAGGTTTGGAACAACTTGAGGGTGAGTAAATGATGACAGAATTGTCATTTTTGGGTGAACTGTCCCTTTAAGCGCATGGAATTGAGTGGTCATTTAGCTTTGCTAGGTCAGCTAGTTCACCTGCTGAATTTTACTCTTTGTATCCATCAGATCTTGAAGAAATCATGTATAGAAATCCTTGCTGCAGAACCATCCAGTATCTGTGCTGGAGGTGAGTACATTTCTCACTAGATCAACCGATGTGAGATGTTCAGCAGTAGCAAACTGTCCTCCAGAGTAATGGGATTGATAATAATGTAATACAAAACGTCGTCATTTGATCAAAAGCCCAGAAGTGAGGTTTGTTAGTGTTTGAACAAACATGCTATTTACATTACATACCTTACACAATCACACACCTTGAACTTAAAAAGACAGTGGATTTATATAATGCATCACTTAAATATGCTAAAGAGGCTAAAATACCAAAAATGTACTGTTGGAACTTTAAAAAGGCACTTCAATTAAATTTTTTAAACATTTTTAAATTCATTATACACTATTTAGTTAAGTTTAATTAAGTTGTTCAGGTCAATGGATTTGTCAGTGCCATGCAAAAAATTCAAGAGTCCATATTTTCACAAAATCCACTAATTTAAATAGGAATCCTCACAATCTGGAATTACGTACAGTGTATCCATCAAAATATGGATAGAAAAATATATAGAATATGTGAATTTGCCATGTTGACCAGCAGAAAGCTGTTTAGTTTGAAAGTGACTTTGATATGAGTTGTGCTTCATACAGTTACCGTACTATTGACAATAGACAATGGACCTTTTCGCTCACAAAATTTTGCAGAAATTTTGCTAATATGAAAAAAACAAACAATGCTTTTATATTTCTTTAGACAATAAATCTTCTTGTACATTTACAAGTGTTCTTGTACATTTATGGTTCTGATTTGTTTTAATGTAACTGTCTTTCAAAATTCGCCACACGATTTAACATTGTGATGTGTGAACTTTCTGTTTTAAAGAGGCGTTCCAAGTCGTCGTGAGAGGAAATGGATTCCTTCATGCAAGAAATGTGGACAAGGTTCTTTGCAGCTTCAGAATAAATGACACCCTTACCAGAAGTAAGTACAATGAAATTCTGGCTTATTTTCTTTTCTTTTAAGGAATAGTTCACCCTAGAGTTAGGGTACTTGGACTCGGGTAGAGTTGTACTCGGACTTCACACAGATATTTTGGACTGGAAATTTTTCTTAGTACAGATGAATCCACATCATGTTTAATGTGAAAGATAAAAAAGGAACAACTTAAAAAATGTCTCCCACTCAAAAGACTCAATTGGACTCGACTCGACAAGGTGGACTTGGACCCAACACTAGTTCACCTAAAAATGACAATTCTGGCACTATTTACTCACCCGCTTCAAACCTGTATGCTGTTGTTTTTTCCATGGAACATAAAATAGATTTTTTAAGAGTCATCATTTTCATATAAGTGACCATGGACTGTCAAGCTACAAAAAGGCACAGAAGAAGCGTTACGAATATAGTATACAGAATGTGACTTGTGCACTTAATTCCAAATCTTTGGCTGCATCATGAGCAGACCTGAAAGAGACTCTCAAATGAAATATGGACATGAGGTTGCATTAAAGTAGAATCAAACGTCATTGAGGGTCTCATAACTTGTGCCATATTTGATTTGAGAGCTGTCGGTGATGGTTAATAGTGAATGATGATTTAAATTTCACTCTGTTCCTTAATCAATCTATTGTATAGCTTCAGAAGACTTCAAATATACTGTTCAAGTGATATGGACTATTTTATGACACATTTATGGTACAAACCCAATTCCAAAAAAGTTGGGACACTGTACAAATTGTGAATAAAAACAGAATGCAATGATGTGGAAGTTTCAAATTTCAATATTTTATTCAGAATACAACATAGATGACATATCAAATGTTTAAACTGAGAAAATGTATCATTTTAAGGGAAAAATAAGTTGATTTTAAATTTCATGGCATCAACACATCTCAAAAAAGTTGGGACAAGGCCATGTTTACCACTGTGTGGCATCCCCTCTTCTTTTTAATAACAGTCTGCAAACGTCTGGGGACTGAGGAGACAAGTTGCTCAAGTTTAAGAATAGGAATGTTGTCCCATTCTTGTCTAATACAAGCTTCTAGTTGCTCAACTGTCTTAGGTCTTCTTTGTCACATCTTCCTCTTTATGATGCGCCAAATGTTTTCTATGGGTGAAAGATCTGGACTGCAGGCTGGCCATTTCAGTACCCGGATCCTTCTACGCAGCCATGATGTTGTAATTGATGCAGTATGTGGTCTGGCATTGTCATGTTGGAAAATGCAAGGTCTTCCCTGAAAGAGACGACGTCTGGATGGGAGCATATGTTGTTCTAGAACTTGGATATACCTTTCAGCATTGATGGTGCCTTTCCAGATGTGTAAGCTGCCCATGCCACACGCACTCATGCAACCCCATACCATCAGAGATGCAGGCTTCTGAACTGAGCGCTGATAACAACTTGGGTTGTCCTTGTCCTCTTAAGTCCGGATGACATGGCGTCCCAGTTTTCCAAAAAGAACTTCAAATTTTGATTCGTCTGACCACAGAACAGTTTTCCACTTTGCCACAGTCCATTTTAAATGAGCCTTGGCCCAGAGAAAACACCTGCGCTTCTGGATCATGTTTAGATATGGCTTCTTTTTTGACCTATAGAGTTTTAGCCGGCAACGGCGAATGGCACGGTGGATTGTGTTCACCGACAATGTTTTCTGGAAGTATTCCTGAGCCCATGTTGTGATTTCCATTACAGTAGCATTCCTGTATGTGATGCAGTGCCGTCTAAGGGCCCGAAGATCACGGGCATCCAGTATGGTTTTCCGGCCTTGACCCTTACGCACAGAGATTGTTCCAGATTCTCTGAATCTTTGGATGATATTATGCACTGTAGATGATGATAACTTCAAACTCTTTGCAATTTTTCTCTGAGAAACTCCTTTCTGATATTGCTCCACTATTTTTCGCCGCAGCATTGGGGGAATTGGTGATCCTCTGCCCATCTTGACTTCTGAGAGACACTGCCACTCTGAGAGGCTCTTTTTATACCCAATCATGTTGCCAATTGACCTAATAAGTTGCAAATTGGTCCTCCAGCTGTTCCTTATATGTACATTTAACTTTTCCGGCCTCTTATTGCTACCTGTCCCAACTTTTTTGGAATGTGTAGCTCTCATGAAATCCAAAATGAGCCAATATTTGGCATGACATTTCAAAATGTCTCACTTTCAACATTTGATATGTTATCTATATTCTATTGTGAATAAAATATAAGTTTATGAGATTTGTAAATTATTCCATTCCTTTTTTACTCACAATTTGTACAGTGTCCCAACATTTTTG